TTTTCTCCCAGTGATGAGTATACCCTGACCAGAATTTCACTACATTGTATTGCACATCTCACTCGGATCATTTGGCTGCTTACAACTGCCTTTGGAAGCTTTCATTTGACAATGGATGGTGGATAGCGTTTCTATTGTAAACGACATACGCACAGCGGCATAAATTCTCTAAGCATTTGTTCATTGTGTCAGATCGTGGGCGGCGCCCTGGCAAACAGGGGCCTCAAGAAGAGCGACGTCAAGCACTGGGCGATCCATCCCGGCGGCCGCAAGATACTGGAAGCCGTGGAGAAGGGGGTCCAACTTTGCCGGGCAGAGATGGCGTGCTCCTGGGAGGTGCTCCGCGACTACGGCAACATGCTGGGCACCACCATCTTCTTCGTCCTGGAGAAAATAATGAAAAGGGCGCTGGAGGCAAGGGGGCCCGGATCCCAGGAGGCCGAAATGGGCGTCGGTTTTTCATTCGCACCGGGAGTGAGGACGGAAGGCTTCCTGTTCCAAATCACTGGGGGCCAATAGGACCTTTGGTCGCCCAAGGGTGACGGCGGTTTTGCGGCCGTGCCGCACAGAACGGCCCTCCCTGTGCAGCGCTCCAGATGGCCTGATGAGCAGCAACGCCCTCGGTGATACCCGAAATGAATCCAGGCGAAGCAAGGTAGTGATGGAAAGGTGGCCGAGAGCAAAATTGGTTGTCAGGGTTGAAATCCTGCAACCTGACGAAAAGGTGCTGTTAGATTACAAACGCGCGCAGCGCGGCGCGCTGTACGGCAACATGGCTGCGACCGCCGCGCTGGTGAGCCGCCCTAATTGTTTGCTTACAAGGCCAAAATAGGTAGGAGTGTGTGGCTTTAGTGGGGCAGACAGGGACGAAGCAGCGTGGTCACCACAGTTTCGCAGAAGGGAGAAGGATGCATTGTGGGATTGTGCATGGGGTGGCCAAACGAAATGGGCGCCGAGGCCCATCCGTGGGGGGCCACGTGCATTACGAGGGCTCAAATTTGATGCAATGAGACAAATTTCAAGTTTCCGTACTCAAGTGCTACGGGCGGCGGTTCAGTGAATGTAGATTCGAATTTGGGGTTTCTCTGTATAACCGGTTCGCCAAATGTCCTGGTGGCTCGCCCGTAGGAGGTGACATTGAATAGAGACAGGTCCCGAGCTTTGAGCACATCAAATAACAGTCACCAGGAATTGAATTGAATTGAATTGAGTCCGCAGGGATTGGGACAAATGATGTTACGTGACACGATTTTTTTCCATAATTTCGAAACAGGGATGTGGATATTGGCGGGTTCAAAACGATCTCATTGAATGTCAGGGCAAGTGTAGAGATTTTCTGGCCGCCGTGAATTGCAGTGTCTTGTGCTGTCTATATTTTCAAACACTTTTGAATCGAATCCGGAATATGTCCCACAGCGTCTGGACACTGTCTCTGGGTGTAGCTGCGTTTTGTAGCTAGCACAATATTTTTCCCAATATTGCTGTGCCCAATATTGGCTTGCTTCGCGCATTCCTCACGAAGACACTGATCAGCCTATTCTTCCACAGGACACAGGATTCAATGCAGCGGTGCGTGAAACCGGTATGTTTTATCGGTTGTTTGTAGTGAGAGGCTTTCTCTTTGTGTCCTGTTCATTACTCATGCTGTCCTCAGTTACTTCAAAACATTCTGACACCACATCACACAATGCCTGACGGGATGGTGTTGGTCTGACGGGACACCGTTCCCGCCAGAGCCCATACAGGCCAAATGGGTTACAAATATTCCCAACAGGCGTCCGCCACCCAAACAAAGCCCGATGAACGTTGTAACACAGAATTTGCCCTTGCTTCGCGAATCAAACCACAGTGCTTTCCCCAGCACTTTGCACTTCACAAATTCCACCTGCAAGCCGAGCCCACACTCGCATGGATGGGCGGGAGGGAGAGCAACACAGGATGGAGACGGTCTGTGGGCGCCACCACAAAATAGGTGGCATCCGCCGCCCTCCAAAAAGCGCGCCAAGCCTTTCACCTGAACGGCTTGCCGCGGCTACCTCCAGAAGCTTGCCCAGCCCATCACTCCCACCTACGGCCACCTAGTCAGAAACTAATTAACTGCGTCAATCCCCTGACTTTACCCACGTTGCGCACCCAAAAGCGTCCTGACAAATCTGCCTCCTGGAGGCACGGACGAGGTTCCGGAAGGCTCTAGAACCTCTGTAAGGCTTCAGATCTACAGGCCGCGGCAAGCGAACCATCCCCCCAGGCAAGGAAGACATGGCTACCATGTGCTCTCGCTCCACTTGGTGCAGCCCACAGAACCCCGCCACATCGCACTCTTCCCTTGCCCGGCGAGGCGCGAACTGTGAAGCCTGCAAGCATTTGCTCATGTTGCTCAATCTGCGCTGAAGATTCATCAGCTGCGCCCGCAGTGGCCTCATGTCTCACCGTCCGATGTGCCCCCCCCAATCAACCAGCCCCGTCACGCGCGCCTGGGAGATGGCCTTGGGCGCCTGCCCACGGCTCCATCAGCAGCCAACCCCAATCAGTCGGCTTTGATCTCGAACCCCGTTTGGTGGAGGCGCGGCGATTACGCGACTGTTGCGTTGCCCTTGTCGACTGCCCTGGGCGCAGGTGTCTGCCGTTGTGAATGGCGCACTCCGACCAATCAAGCCACTCAATCAAATCGAAAGCTCGCATCAAGCGGTCCATCGTTCCCTACATAAGTCAAAAAAGTGCGGAGGGCAGTCAGCGGGCTTGCACGCGAGTCGCAGGGGCGCGTCCGCCGAGGCCCTCCCGCCGCTCCCGGCTTTCGCAGCTCTGTGGTTGTTTCAGGCCCCCGTGAGTGGGCGGGGCTGTGGACAGAGAGCCGAAAAGCGGAAAGCGATCGGACAGGCCCCACGGTGCGTTCCCGTCCCCGCCCGTTCCGATTGTGCCGCCCCAAACTGGCATGCCGTTTCCCGCGCATTGAGCATGGCGGACGACTCGTTGGACCGCGTGACGTCCGCTCAATTCCCACCGCCCCCCTCCCCTGCCTCCGCGAATCTCTTGCCAGGCGGCAGTCGCTTATCTGCGTATTTTTGGCGGCCTGGAGCGGGCTGGGTGGCTGGTTGATGGCGGGGGGATGCTGCACGGCATGGGGTTGGCGGTTTCCATGCGCACCAACGCTGAAATTGATGTCTTTGGCGGCTTTCCGCGTGGGCAGAGATCCAAGCCGGCTCCGTCCGCTCAGCCGGAGCGCTGGGCCGATCGCCCGGGGACGCCGCTCTCAAAGCAGAGGACGGCGGGGCCAGCGTGCCTTTGGTGTCGGGGCATGCCGCGTTGCCTCAAATGCGTGTGCGGAATTGGACTTGACTGGAGCGGGTCTGGGACGCCGTCAGCCGCTGCCCGCACAAAATAGGGGATCTCCGGCGCCTGTGCGGGCCTTGAGAGTTTAGGCTAGACGGGGATCGGGCCGGCGCGCGGACTGGCGATGCTCGCGCTGCGCGGCGGTCGACGCGTCGGCAAGCTGGGAACTGCGACGCAGGCGCGATCCACTTCTTCTTTTTCCGCTTGTCGAGGCGCCGCCCATCGTTGTTCGCGCCGGACTGTGAGGCTACCGCTCGAACGGGTACCGTTTACGAGCCCAACGGTCGACAGCCCAGTGTCGGAATCTCCGCGTCGGTGGCCCACGAGTCCCAGCGAGGGGAGCACCGGCGGATAAACACGAGTCTGGAATTCGAGGGAAACCCCGGCTGCGACGCGACCAAGGATCTGAGTGGAGCCGCTGGGGGGCGCGGAACGGTTCTTGTGCTTGTTCTTCTTGTAGTCCTTCTGCTCGTTGGCCCACGGCGTCCCAGCAGATTGAGTACACCATCACCGGCTGTCGCCGCCCTGCAGTCGCGGACGGCTGTGTCGCATTGGCGGGGCCCGGGATCCGAGCGAGCCGTTTGCGATTTTCGCAACAGGCGGCGATCGCCTGTCCCAGATGCGCCGGGCGAGCGGCTGCCGTCAATCCTGGTCCGGAAAGTGAATCTTCAATCTGCGTTTGCGCGGTTCGGCGACGCGCGGAGCATCTTTTCGGCGTCGCACGGGGAAGCGGCGCTGCGATGCGAGTCATGGAGGAATGCCAGGCTGGCGTGATCCTGATCTGATCGACAAACCGCAGAATTTTGAAAAGTCGAGCGTCGCTTGGCTGCTTGGGCAGCAGAACTGCGTCTCCAAGGCTCTCATAGGGTGAGTTGTCCCCTGGACTGCTGGTGGTTCGCATATTGGACAACCGAACGATGGCCACACGGCGCCAGCAACAGCGACTGCTGTGATCTTCCACAGAAGCGCGGGATGGACAAGCACCTGAGCCAGATGCAGTTTGAGAGAATAACCCGCTGTTTTGTGGGGCGCTGGGAGCGCCTGTTGCTTGCCGTCTCAGGCATAATGACGCGATCAACGACTAATTCCGTGCCGTGCACGTGTCCTGCCTTCCACACTCCATCGTCCCCTTAAAGCCGGATTCTTCAGGATTTGTGCAGACAATATCATGTTGGCTGCCACCCCATGGTCGAAAGGAATGCTGGACGCACAGCAGCGCCCCCGCACAAAATTCTGGCTGCTGCCTAAAGCCTGGGATAAATGGCCGAATCCCTTGAGTCCTGTCAAATGGTGTCGGAATCCCTGTTGTGGGCTCGAGAGTCTTTTCATCACAAGGGCACTGCGATGGCCGCTGCATCGCACGTCAATGCCTGGGTGCCAGGAAGGAGAGTGGCTGCAGCTGCGAGGTGCACCTGTCCTGGTGGCGCTTGCCAGAGCAGGAGAGATGCTGACGTTGACCCTGCAAGGCAATGCGGAGAACAATCCCATAAGGGCACACTTGCACAAGTCCTTGATTGACACTGGGCACCTTTTGTCCCAGAAATGATTGTTCCTTCCCTGTTAGTCCGAAATCGTGATGGCAAGTTTGGGCACTGACCCTAAGTCTTGTGTGTTCTGTGGCTATCACAGGTACACATAGTCCAGGCAACAGGCAAAGCCATCAGCTTGTGATGGGGCCCCCCGTGGTGACGTCTGTGCTGATGGCATCCCTGATCTGCTGCATCTGCCTGGCCAACGCCCGCAGCCTACTGAAGAAGAATGCTGAGTGTGTGCAGGCCAGCATCAGTGATGTCAAGGAGTGTTTCCACACTGCTGAGGAGGTCGAGCTCCTGTGCACAAAGGCCGTTGCCATACAGGTGGATCAGTGCCTGGATGGGTGCCTGGAAACTGGGGACTGCTCTGGCTCGAAATGCGCACATGATTTCCTTGCGGAATATGAGACATGTCAAGACCAGGGCAGGTTTACGAGGGCCAAATGTGCACAGGCCCTGAGGGTGGAGAGGCACCGCTGCCCAAACGCCTGAAGCCCTCAACAACACCAATGTTCGGCCCAGGCTGCGTTTGTACATATTCCTGTCCAAACTGTGGCTATCATGAGGCTGTGCAGGAGCCTGGCAGTATTGGTACATTGTTTCGTGTGGGCTGAGGCTGTGTCCGGTGTGTGTGGAGGCCTTGCTGATTGCGCTGACCTAGCGGATCTGTTTGCTATCATCAGCATTTTTGTGTGCCTTTGTGTACCCTTTTGTGCTTGTGCGCCTGCTACGGGGTGGCACACACAGGGAGGCATCGTTATAATTATGGCCAAGTTTTAGCTGGCAGGCTGAAGGCATGGATGTATCATTGCACTCCTTATGTCAGAGTACAGGGGTCATGCTTTGTGTCTGTCTGAGGCAATGATGGAGGGAATACGTAGGAATCGAACTGTCCACATACAGTAGGACTCAGACCTTGACAGTACAGGTGTCAATCGAAGTTTGGAACAAACGCTTGGTCTTTTCAAATGCAAAAAGGTGGCTGCGCTTGCCAATGGCGATTGGCCAAGAACAGAGAGAGCGTGGTGATTCAGTGGCAGGCGATTTTCGAAGACAATTATCCAGAAAAGCAACCGTGAACAATGATTTGCAGCTTTTCTTGTGCAGCGCAGCTGCCTTTGAGAGGAAAGGTGACTGTAGAGGGCAGACGCCCAGCGGAATGAAGCACCAGTTGAATAAACATCCGAATCACAGTTCCCCCTGATTGGATCGGAGCCAGAGTCTGGACTCATGCTTCAGGGGCATGCTGTTGATTACAGTGTGCATTGGGGCCCAGTATCCAGGGGCTCTAGGGTACTGCTTTTCTATTTGATGCAGCAAGATCTAAGTAGGGAAATGCTGCCCCACAGATGGACCTTGGGTTTGACTTTGCTTTGACTGGTGTGGGCACTGATGCCAGCTCTGCACCATGGGAAGAACAAACTACAAAGCTTGAAACATGACGTTGCCAGCCAACTGCAGGCTGTGGGATGTACAAGTAGGCTAGGGGCGGTTTGAATGGCGGTGAATCAATTCAAGAGCGAGTGAAACTATTATGGGGAAGGTTGGATGTGTGAGTGCATTGCTTCTGTCCACAAGGTGTGCCAGTTTGTTGGTTGGGGGCTCAGGCTGTTGAGTTTGGGACATTGGGGATGCTCAGCCTGGCGTGCAGATCTGTGCAGATGCTCTATATGCCCAAACTCAGTAGAATGAATGGACATGGGATTGTGCAGATTTGAGCACCGATGACAAAGGGCGACAGAATGGTGCCCATGCTGTTGCAAGTCGAGAATAGGCAGAAACCCATCCCTTGCCTTGTCAATTGCCTACTCCCCCCCTTCGCCCCACCCCCAACCCCCCAAGTGATCAGCGATGCTGTGGCAGCAGAAATGATTTGCAAAGAGTACAGCGATAATTGTGTTATTTTGGTTCTGCATCTGTAAGTTAGGAACAACGGTGCACATCCAAGTGCTCAAGGCATGTTAGCCCTGTCGAATGCCTTCTCCCCCTGCCCCTCCACATCATCAAAGGGCAACCGTTTAGCACCAATACACAAGGCCGGCCAGCTTTCGCACACGAGCCCATCCCTCTTCCGCGAGCCCCAATTCATGGTGTCCATACAAACCCCGGAGCCCAATTCACGAGTGCAAGAGGCACGAGTTTCAGAAAGGAGACATGGAAAACGTGTAGACGCGTTTGGCATGGTGCATCAAGACAGCATCTTCTTGGAGTCAGATGCACGTCGTGCTGTACTGATGTTCGATTTGGATACCCAAGACGGCCTGCAGTCCGTCTCCGGTGCAGGGGTGCACTGCCTCTCCCTGCGATCGTCGCGGGTGTGATCGCGTCGCTCGGACGCCCCGTGCCGCTGCCTCCTGCTTACGCCATCTGGCAATCGAGCCGCACAGTTTCTCACCGCGGGTGCCTTGAGCAGCGTCGAGGGCGCTTGCTTTCGCGGTCGGTCCCCTGCGGCATCGCCCACCTCCTACCGAACCTCGCTGCGCCCTTGGCCCGCCGCTGAAAGCGCGCTGGGCGGCGCAAACATTTTCGGGAAGGCTGGAGCGATGCGCCTACGTTACACAAATCCCCCTTTTGGCGCATCAAGCCGGGGGATCTGGCTTTTCTTTTACCAAAAATAAAGAGAATTAGTATTCCAGAATTAGTAAACGAAGCAGACCTGGCATGACGTAATGCCGGAATGATTCCATGCGTGATTCCATGTCACCACTCCATTGGTTTGCGTTCCCTTATGGGGCATGAAGCCGAGGGTATCTGGCTTTTTGACAGTCCCGAATTGCCGGACAAACCAGGTCTGGCATTCGGGCGATGTGATTCCGTGCCGCCACTCCATTGGGCTGTGCTGTCAATCTCCGGGCGGCTGAAGAGGAAGAAGAAGAAGAAGATTCCCTACAAATGGTGATACGATGAGGATGTGCATGTCACCGCCGTGGTACAGCTGAACACGTCAAGAAGGCTCAAAGTTCTCCAGGCCGGGAAGTGGAGAAGTGCCAAGGAGGGCGTCAGAAATTCTGACTCAGACTAAGGGCCAGCTTCAAGGTGTGGGGTGTGCGACCTCAAGCAACGAAGTCGCCCGTCCCTTCGCGGGGGGAGATTGGCTGCTGGTGTGCACCCAGTTTTCCAAGCCGCCAAGGGCCGCCTATTTAGGGCGCCTATTTAGGGCCGCCTATTTAGGGCCGCCTATTTCCCAGCCGCCTATCACTTGCAACAGCACCAACAGACGAGGATGCTCTTGGCCAGGCGAGGAGGCGGCAGCGTTCAGTTCCTTCTCAAATTCTTTACCCCTGATGTGTACCCCGACACAGCGCGCAATGTACTGGCCAGCCTGCATTAGTGGTGCTGCCGTCTGTGGTACATTCGTAGCGTCGTCACTCTCCACAAACTAGCCCAAGGTAAGATCCGCGCCAGGCGGCGAGACGGAGAGGACAACTCCACGCCGCGCCGGTCCGAGAGCAGGCACAGCGGGACGCCCCACCCCTCCGCTGCGGTGAGTCGCGTCCGTTGGCCAATGCCGGCATGCGCGCACAAATCACGGCGTGGCCGCCGCGAGCGGCTAGCACGATCAATTGTCGTTTTCAGGAACTGCCTGCCGCGCATCGCATTGGTGGGGCCGCTTCAGAGGCCGTTCCGGTTGAGAGATGGGCGCGCGAGACGGTGCGGAGTCTAGACACGGGGCGGGGGGTGGGAGATTTTGGATCTTGTGGCGGATGGCTGTGGACGTTCTCCGGCCACCGGGAGTTTTGGACCCCGCGCCTTTGGCGCTTGCGATATGCAATTTCGCTCAAGCGGACTGCTGAGGGTAGAGGCGTGGGAGATCGGGCGACCTGCCGCGCGCCTGAGATCGGAGATGCTCGGCGAGGGATGGGCGGGCATTGACTGTGCGCGCGGCTGGCCCGATCTGGACTGGGGGCCGGCACTTCCGCGGGGTGAAGGGATGCCCCTCCGGGGAGGTCGACGGGGCGAGAGGCGGCCCGTGGGGGGAGCCGGAAGAATTTTTTGTCTTTTCTTTGCAGGGGGGCTTTTGAGGGGCCTTGTGGGGTCGATTCCTGATTCATGTCTGCAACGAGTTGATGTGTGGTGTGCGGGGATCGCAGATCGAGCCGTGGGCCAGGTGTCGGAACTAGGCCACGGCGCTGGGGGGAGGAGACTGCGCTGCGAAGGGGCCCGGCCAGCGGCCGTGAGCGGATGGCCGAGGCGGGGGTGCCGAGCGGGGAGATTGGCGCGCTGATCGACTGAAGGGCGTTGGCGGCATCGATACGCTCATCGATTCATATCGGGGCGTCAGGCGGGGCAGGGCGGTTTCGTCGCTGTGACAGGAGAGAAGGCGGAGCGGGAGCGGGAATCTGAGCTTTCGATTGCCGGAGGGCTGTGGGGTGCAGCCGCAGGGGGTGGGGTAGGATTTGTTGCAAGGAGAAACAGTTCCCATATTAAGATACCTCCTCGGCAAGTGAGGCTCTGTCCCACACTGTGGGAGGGGGTGGGGAGGCGGATTGGCCTGGCTGAGGGGTGGAAGGCGTCTGGGGGGAGGACCATGGCGCGGGGCTGGGCGATCGCCGCCATCGCCCTGTCGATCTTCCCAGCACTGATTGTGGAATCTGCGGGATCGAGGCTGCAGTCTGGAGGGATGGCGCCGGGGGGGGTGGGCGACCATTCGGGCCCGCTGGACTGCTCGTTCGTCGTGAAGGGCTCTGGGGCGGCGGCCGACGCGAGCCTCAGCGTGGCCGTCGCCTGCGACGGGTCCCTGATCTTCAACAGGACGATCAACGCCAGCGAGGCGGTGGAAACGAGCATCACGCCGGCCGTCACGCTGTTCGCGCCCCACGTCGACGGGCTCATGATCGTCCGCCTGCACGGCGCCGCCGGGGGGATCGTCTCGAACTCCAGCTTCGATGCGATCCCCGCAGTGGGCGGGTCGCCAATCATGGCCCCCCTCGTCCTCGACGGGATCCAGGGGCTGACACTGCGCAACGTCACCTTCAGCCGCAATGGCCAATCGGCCGCGGCCGGTGCGATGGCGTCGATCGGAGCGAACGCGACTTTAAAAAGATGCCGCTTTGAGGGGAATGTGGCCACGGGAACTGAACCTTGGGCGGGGGCGATTGTCGCCCGGGGAGGAAGCCTGGCGGTGAAGGACTGCGTGTTTGACGGGAATGGGGTGGCGGCCGCCGGCGGGGCGGGGGCCATAATGATCGCAAATGGCGCGGAGGTGGAGGTGCGGGGATCGGTGTTCAAGGGCGCGGGCGCTCAGGTGGTTCCAGGGCCCCAGGCGGGGGCGATTTTGTGCGAGGGCGGGTCCCAGCTGAGCGTCATTGGCGGCAATTTCTCGGACCACATGTCGCAGAACGGGACCATCTTTGCTTCGGGGGAGGGGAAAGGTTTGGAGCTGGAGGGCGTGGACTTTTCTGGGAACTTTGCAGACCATTGCGGCGGTGCTGTGCGCGCGGTGGGGATAGGGGTGGACGCTCAGGCGTGCAAGTTTTTGGTGAACAATGCTGGCTCTTGTGGGGGAGCCATCGCGATTTCTGGGGGTCCCTTGTTCTGCACTGGATGCGCTTTCGAGTCGAATGTCGGGGCCATCGGTGGCGCCATCTTTGTGGAGGCATCCTCCGCACGTGCTGATGATTCTGATGGAATCACGATCAACGAGACGACGATCAACCAGAACGTGGCCACTTTGAGTGGTGGGGCAGTGTATTTGGACAACACACAGGGAGCAATCTTGAAGACGTCGTTGAAGGGGAACCAGGCAGGTGGTGACGGGGGCGCTGTGTACAGCAGCTGTCCCCACTCCAAACAACTGCTGGTCAAAGGATCCACATTCAAGAACAATGTGGCTGAGGGCAATGGGGGTGCTTTGAGCTTGGGCGGGACCTATCCAACTGTGGAGGGCAGCAAGTTTATTGGAAACAAGGCCGGAGGGCAGGGTGGGTCTTTCTTCCTCACGGAGCACAAGGCACCCCAAATTGGCACTATGCATCCCAATTCTGACGTGATCAAAATCGAATCGACGGCAATCACTGGGAGCAGTGCAGGCGCCAGCGGTGGGGTGCTGTACACAAACCACACCTGTCCAGTGTCAGTCGTGAAGGCAGTGCTTCACGGCAACAGTGCCTACCGCTCTGGTGGTGCCATGCACATTGAAAACAGCAAACATGTGACAATATCAGGATCCAAATTTTACCAGAATGTGGCTGACTCTGTCTTCAGTCTAGGGGGTGCCATTTGTGTTGAAAGGTCAGGCCAAGTGAGCTTGACAGGATTGAACTTCACTGGTAACACAGCCACAGGAGGCTTTGGAGGTGCAGTGTCAGCCACCAACTGCTCAAGCTTGGACTTCGAAGACAGCATTTTTGTTCGGAACGTTGCTGGTGTTGGAGGAGGGGTTCATATCGATACGGTCTCCCTTCAACGTTCTCCACAGCCTCTGTTTGAGGGTCCGAGCATAATTGAGGACACGAGGGTGAGTGTGCGCATATCAGGTTGCTCCTTTTCTGAGAATGAGGGTACCATATCTGGGGGTGGCCTCACGGCGATGAACTCTGGTCGCCTGAACTTGATTTTCAACAATATAACCAAGAACAGAGCAGCGGGGAAGGCTGGTGGTGGTCTCCAATTGGCCCTCATGTCCAAGGGCGCTGTCATAAGGAATTGCCACTTCGAAGGCAACTCTGCAATCGAATCTGGCGGGGCGTTAGATGCTCTGCACATGGCCGAGGCTTGGGTATTGGACTCTGAATTCAGGAACAACAGTGTGAGTGGCGGCTCTGGGGGAGCATTGAATTTGATTAATGTCTCATCTGTATTGGTGCATTCGTCTGTGGTCATAAACTGCTCATCATCTGGCTCTGGAGGGGGCCTCTTTGTGACGGACTCTGGACCTGTGCAGTTGGATATCGCAACCCTGTGGGGGAACACCGCTCTTGGAGGTGCCGGTGGAGGTGCCTATTTTGCTGAGGTCACACAAGCAGAGGTGACTGGCTGCAAAGTGATGGAGAATGTTGCCATGGAGTCTGGTGGAGGCATTCTTATGGCCAGCGTGGGCTCTGTTGGCATCAATGGCAGCCACCTTCAGTTCAATGTCGCACAGCAGGGGCTGGGTGGTGCTTTGGCAGTGAATACCACAGCAGGGGTCATGCTTAGGAGCTGCGGAATGTATTGGAACAAGGCGGATGTGGCGGGTGGGGCAATGCATGCGGTGGGCGTGGGTGAGGTGAACATGTGGAACAGTACGCTTGAGCACAACTCTGTGTTGAAGGGCCCAGGCGGCGCAGCCGCTCTTGCCGCAGTGCCCGTTGTCGTGGTGAATGACACTTCATTCAACGAAAACAGGGCAGCGGACCTTGGGGGGGCGATCGCCGCTGGAAAGGCAGTTGAGGCGAAACACATGGTGGGGTCATCGGTTGAGAATAGCACACGCTTTGAGGTGTATGGGAGCAGCTTCGCCCAGAACACTGCACTGCGTGGAGGAGCTGTGTGGGTTGATGGGTACCAGCAGGCGACTTTTGAAGGTGCAAGCTCATTTGTTGAAAACCGCGTTGAGAGCACGGGTGGTGCGCTGTCTGCCATTGGCTGCACCTCACTGGTTGCAGGTAATGCAAACTTCACTGGCAACAGTGCAAAAGTCAGTGGCGGGGGGCTGGAGGTGAGCGACGTGCTGAATGTGACAATAGTAGCTTCCACACTGACACAAAACTTAGCCAACTCAGGTGGAGGCTCTACCTTTGCAGGCTGTGGTGGACTGAGCCTGCTGTACTGTGGCTTGGCATCGAATGTGGCAGTGGATGGGAATGGTGGTGCAGTGCGTGCAACTGAGGTGACCAGCATTGACATGGTCGGTGGATCTGTGACTGGCAACAAGGCGCAGGGGTTGGGTGGTGGCATCTGTGTTATGGACTCTGGGTCTGTGAGCGCTGAGCGAGCAGCAATGGATGGCAACTCTGCAGAGTTTGGCGGGGCCGTCGCAGTGACAAGGGCAAAGGGGCTAACACTGAGCTCTTGTGAGATGACTGAGAATATGGCAGTACTTGCAGGAGGTGCAGTGTATGGTGAGGATCTGGGTGGGTTTGCTGCCCACAACTGCATGTTCACAGGCTGCTCATCGTCTACAGGAGGAGGGGCCATTGCCTTGACGACTTCATCTCCCGTTGCTGTCGATAGTTGCACGTTTGTGAGCAACAGGGCAGGCAACGGCACAGGTGGGGCGATTTCTGCAATGTCTGGTTGTGGCAAATCGGCATCTGCTGAGGTTCACAGTGGCTGGGGAACAGGCTGCACTGGAAAGGAAGGGGCCTCGCTGGAGGTTCATAAAAGCACTTTCAAAAGGAATGAGGCAGTGAATGGAGGTGCAGTGCATGCTGCTGACTTTGGCCAGTACATTTTGAATGAATGCTCTTTGGCAGATAATGTTGGCCAGGTGTTTGGTGGGGCGATCTCAGCTGCTGGCTGTGGCAGCTTGAGGATCAGACACTCACAGATGGAAGGGAACTCTGCGGCCACTGCGGGAGGTGCACTGTTTGTGGAGAATGGGGCAGAGGTGCAGATTGGGAATGGTACATGGATAGGCAATCGAGGCCAGTCAGGGGGTGCGATGGCAGTCAAGGACACAGTGACTGTGGAGATTTCAAACAGCAGTCTCACCAGAAACACTGCTGACAAGGCTGGCGGGGCTCTGCACTGCAGCAACGTCAGCGTCCTGAACTTGGTGAGGTGTGCAGCAACTGAAAATCTGGCAAGGGCGCAGGGCGGTGCCCTGAGCTTCGCCAACTCAGGAATCGTCAATCTAGTCGATGGGACCATGGTTTCGAACGTTGCAGAGGATGGGCATGGAGGTGGTGCTGCGGGTAGTGCACTGGATGCCATCATTGTACGTGGCTGTGTCATGTCTGGCAACAAGGCTGGCACCACGGGGGGGGCTTTCCAGGTCGTGCACGTGGGGGCACTGTCCATCCAAGCATCTACCCTGCGAAACAACACAGCAATGGAGGGCTCTGGAGGGGCTGTGGGATCGCTAAAAACTGCTCATATCCACGTGGTTGGCTGTCTATTCAGCAGCAATGAGGCACAGGATCTGGGCGGTGCCCTTGCTGCAGAGTTTGGAACGTTGTCAACTGTGGAGAACAGCAGCCAAGACTGGCTGGACGCACTGCGAAATGCGCTCAACGATGAGTCATCTGTGGAAGTCGATGGCTGTGTCTTTGAGAACAATTCTGCAACAGGCGGGGGAGCCCTGCACGTTGCTGGGTATGGTGAGGTAGCCATTGTCAATGGCTCAAGGTTGTTGAGCAATTGGGTTGGAGAGTCAGGTGGAGCGCTGTCCACATCAGGCTGTGTCCAGGTGCGCATCGACTCAGCCAGCCTGATTGGTAATCGAGCTGGGGCTGCTGGCGGCGGTGTCCAGATGGACAAGGTTGGCAGTGTCTACGTACAGAACAGCACTCTGGGTGAAAATGTGGCGCTGTCTGGGGGTGCCATGGATGCCACCAACTCGAAGAATCTGGAATTGGATCGTGTGACTTTTGCTCAAAACCAAGCAGGCAGTGGCGGGGCCACTCGTGCATCCAATGGCGACAGCCTGAGTGTGGCCCATTGCGAGTATAGGAACAATTCTGCCAAGGACTCTGGGGGTGCTTTTATGCTCGATGGCGTCACCAATGTGTCCATGCTAGGGTGTTCGATGTCGGGCAACCGAGCAGACTTTGAGGGGGGTGCTGTGCGCATAACAGATGCAAAAATGGTCAAGCTGTCCCTCTGTGACTTTGCATCGAACACAGCCAATTCAGGTGGTGCCATCGTGCTGTCAGAGGTGGCTGACGTCTGCACTGGTGAGTGCACCTTTGTTGGCGATCATGCACTTGATGCTGGGGGCGCGATGCTTGCTGAGGTGGTGGGCAGCCTAAATGTGACCGACTGCGTGCTGGATGGGAATGTGGCCAGTGTCGGTGGAGGGGTTTATGCAGCTTTCTCTGGCATGACCTTCACCAACACAAGCATGGAGCTAAACCATGCGGACCGGGGTGGTGCGCTGTACCTCCACCGAGCCGCCAACCTCACAGTGCAGGCCAGCACTGTGGGAAACAACTCCGCCACTGACACTGGTGGCGCCCTGCAGTGTGGTGAGCTGACCCAGGTCGTGGTCAATCGTTCCACCCTGCAGTACAACGATGCCCGCATGGAGGGTGCGTCGCTGATGGCCGGCTGTGGCTGCGAGGCCAACATCTTGCTCAGCAACTTCACCTTTTTTGACAACGAGACGCGCAGAAATCACAGGGGGGGCCTGCTCGGCACCACGCAGCGGTGTAGCCCCCAGGGCAGGATAGTCAGCAAGAACAACACATTCACCGCTGTGCCCACGGCAGCAGACACGATGGGCGGGCGTCTTCTTCACCTGGGATGGCTGTGGGTGGTGGTGGCAGTGGGGTTTGCCCTTGGCCTGGTTATCCTGTTCCCTCCCCTGGCCTGCATCCACAACTGCTTCGGCACTGAATCGCTTCTGTCATCGGACGACGATGATGAGCTGCTGGCTCCACTGTCGGGTGGTGGTGGGTATGGGCAAGCTACGTCCACGCTGCTGGATGGATTTGGTGGCACTAGGGCTGCCAACGGCAGTCGAGGGCACAGAGGGGCAGGTGGACCAGCCTCTCAGATCAGTGGATCGGACCCGCCGAACGATGAAGCATGAGGCTGGGATATTGCTGCATTTCTTGGATTTGTAAGATGAACGTGATTGCTTTGTTGTAACAAATCACTGCCCTTGCATCTTCAAGGTGCTGACAAGCATTTTTGAATTGCGTTTTTTGGGTTAGAGTTAGTAGATTGTTCTGATGATTCTAATCTGGGACAGAAATTGCAAAGTGGTCATCATGCGGTTTGTGATGTTGAGCACATCTAGAAAGAACTGGTGGCAAGATGCACTTGTGCGCCGCTGGTGGGGTAATGTGGTATGGAGAAGCTGTGATGGAGGACAGTGGGCAAGCAGATTGGGAAGGAGGGGTAGGTGGCATGGTTGTCGTATGTAGACTAGGCTCCCTGTTTCCATCTATGTGAGGGCTGCCAGTGATGATCTTCAAATATCAATAGACGACCCAAGCACATGCAGACAGCAGAAGTGCTTGGTGACAGAGATGACATGCCTTGCCTGTGTCGCCATTTGGGAGAGTGCACTTGTCGCCTTCTGCACGCCATTCAGCAGTCAGTGAGTACACAAACGCCAGGATAAGATGGACAGGAATGTTGCCATGCTAACTCCAGCTTCCCCTGGCTCGATCTGCTGGACGCCTGGCTTGGCACTCGAGCAACTGGAGAATAAAGTGATTGGCCACGCTGGCATTTTCTTTTAGATTGGATGGGGGAAGGGGGTGTGCTGAAATCGCAGGTTTGCACTTGCCAACAAAGGGTGAACTGATGCTTGGCACCCAGATAGCGACATCAGGGGGTCCTGCGCAGGCGTCGGTCAGGGACAGGGGCGGGAAAGGGGTGCATCCGTTGTGGCTTCTGTTTGATTCTCGTTGCGCAGTTCCTTTTGTTTCCTGGAGAATTCGTGGCTGTGGTTGGGGTGGCTGGGGTTGTGAGTGGGCCCGTGCGTTGCCCGACGTTTGCCAAACATCAAATCAAACTATTTTTAACCTGATTGTCCACAAGGTCGTAGAAAAAGGTCTGAAGCGTTCTTAAATTGAAATAGTAAGTCGATTGCTGCAGCGTATGTGCTTGAATTTTAATTCTAAGCTATTGTCCTTAATAGCGTACGAATGAAGGAAATACCTTACATTAATATGGGTTCTGAGCATCTATTCTCTTGGTACAACAGCTTTGCATCCTCCTCGTCCCAATAAGAATATGATGCGGCACCTGATAGGAAAAAAATTGAGCACAGCGCTCAGACCTCAGCTGCTTGAAAGAGCCAATCCGATATTGTGCTAATATATCCTTCCTAAGCCATCCAAGCAAACTATCTCACCACAAGGTTGGCCGGCACTTCTTGGTAGCTCACCGAAAAACTGCGAGTGTGATACAAACTCTTTAACAAATGTCGCACGTATTTTGGTGCTGGCAAACACAACCATATCGACAGTGGGGGCCGATGCAGGCAGGGAGACCAGCCCGCCCTGCCTCCCATTTCCCGCCTTCCACCGCATCCACCAGGCCTCCTAGCCTCTGAAACTCCACAGCTGTTTGGGGCCCACCCGGCCGGCTTCCTCGCCTTCTCGATCTCCACGATCTCTGCGGTTATCGGGACCCCCTCTGGACAAGCCTCCCGGCCGCCCCCATCTCCGGTATTTCGTCCCACCCACCCAGCCTCCCCGCCTCCAACGTCGCTGGCCTCAGCTAGCCTCGCCCGACTTTGCAGCCTCCCGCATCCCAGACTGCTGGCCTCCAGCAGCTTCCGCCAGCCTCCGCCAGCCTCCATTTGGCGCTTACCCCCTTGCCTGCGCCGATGCTCGACTTCCCATCTTTAGCCTCTTGGCCCCTGCGCCTGGCCTCCCGACACCGAAGTCCGAACACTTGTGGGTGCATTGGACCTCTGCCGAATGGGATATTACAACAGATACTCGTCATTTGCAGTGATTAGCTGTGATGAACGGGCAGTAATTGGAGGGTGGGATCCAGTGTGATTTGTAATCAGATCGCCGGCTTCGTAGGGTTTGTACTCACTTGCATAGTTTGCTGCGTGCGATGAAAAAACATTGGCAATCGTCAATTGATATGACAGCGGTCATGAGCACACGCCCCGACGAGGTGGGCGCTCAACGGTCGAGCAAGCGCACCAGCGTGTTTCAAACATCTCTCGCCCGTTGTTTGATCAAACAGTCATGAGCAGTGCAATACAACGCCCGATTTGCAACAACGTTTGACTATTTTCACTATGGCAGGTGGGATTGGCCAAATTTCGGAACGAGATAGCACAGTTGCCGCCACATTCCAAACACGGTCGAGCCATGATAAAGTTGCACACAATCTTCCTCCCCTTGCGTTTCCACTCTGCAGCAGAAAATATCGCCATTTCTAAAACAGCACCGGTTGATGCGCAACGGAGGCGCTGTCAGGGGGTGAGAAGACATTTTTGCAAAACGTGAACATTACACTGGAAGCCAAACTATAAACTAATCCCTAAGACACACCCCAAGAGATTGGTATAAAAAACCCACGTCTCCGTAACCCGAGGAAAGGCAACTATTGGGTCTCCAAAAAGAAAAGGGATTAAACTACCCCCCAAAAAGGATGCAAACGCATCAGCACTCCCCCCCATAAGAGAGTGGTATGGCTCAATCATGGGCTGGAAACGAAAGAAAAGAAACCCAAAGATAAAAATGGCCCGGAGTCGTATCCCCTAGGTCCACAGACACCAACCCGAGAAAATGCAACAACCTACCCAGTGTAAACACGAACTATAGCCAACACCAAACAGATTTGGTGTGCTGAACGCGATTACCCTCCATCCAATATAGGTCTCCATCACCATCACCCATCCCGTGTAGTATTTTTGGTCTCATATACTCCTGTGTGGAACCCACGCCTACGAAGCACGACTCCTTCTGGTCCGAGTCTGGCCTTCATACTATTGAACTCGGCGCACGTACTCTGCCAAAATATTCAGAGCATGGTTGAGATGCACGGCGGGCTCCTAGATAGCCTCCGTCAAAGGGTACCCCTTCCACAGAATGAGGTAACGCCTATGAGCGCCCTTACCCTTGTGCCGCAAAATGCCCTCGACTTCGTACTCCGGGATGCCTTCCACCAACTCTGGATGTGGTGGCTGCACCTCCCGTATGAATTCCTCTGACCGTAGGTAACTTTTCGAGTTACTCACATGGAAAGTGGGGTGGATCTTCCATCCCTGGGGAAGGTCCAATCTGTGTGCCGCTGGAGACACGACCTTTATAATAGCAAAAGGTCCTACCTAGCGATGACAAAGTTAAACAGGCAAATGACTAGCAAGATTCCTCAAATGCTTTGTCGACAGCACAACTTCATCGTTCTCTTGCAATGTCTCCTCTCTGCACATTTTATTCACTGCTCGCTTCATGCGTTCTTGAGCTTTGTGAATGTTCTTATGTGCAAAGACCAAAACCACTTTCAAACAGTCAGCCATGTCATTGACAGCTTAGTTCTTCATCTGAACTAAGGACTCCAACAATGACATGGGAACTGTTGGGTCTTGACCTGTTTCCAGGTAAAAGGGAGTGTACCCTGTCGATGCGTTCACAGCACTATTGGCCGCGAATTCCGCCAGCAGTAACTGTTGCACCCAGGTCCTTGGATTCCACTCAATATAGAGCCGTAGAAAATTTTCTAATATCCTCATCATCACCTCTGACTGCCCATCGGTCTGAGGATGATATGCAGTACCGCCCGAAGAGAGTTGTCCAAAACTTGCTAGTAAAGCACGGATCTCAGTCAGAGATGATGACGTCTGGTAGCCCGTGATGGCGAAACATTGTGTTCACAAAGATTTTTGCATAATCTGGAGCCGTGACCTTCTTGGTACATAGAGCAAAATGCACTCTCTTGGTTAAAAGATCAACAAAGACTGCAACTACCGTGTAAGCCTCAGCGTTAGGTAGGTCAGTAACCAAATCAGTAATTACTTGGCTCCATTTCCTCTCAGTAACCAAATTAGTAGTTACTTGGCTCCATTTCCGCTCTGGTTGTGGGATTGGCTAGAGTGGCCCTGCCTTCTTCCTATGATCCACTTTCACCATTTGGCAGGTAGGGCACGTATGCACATAACTGAAGGCATCTATCCTCATGTGCTTCCAGTGGTATGGACGTTGCAACAATTCTAGCATCCGTCAAATTCCCACGTGACCAACGAATGGGATGCCATGACGTTCCCTCAGAATCCATTGTCGCAATGATTTGGGCATCATCAACATCCGTTGATCTCCGTGCTGGACGATTAATAAACCTTGAGGAATCAACTGGATGTGTCCACAGCTATGTTGATCCCTCAATTGTTGAACAGGGAACTTGATAGTGAGGATCCTCCTCCAGTGCCTACTCCCATACCTACAACTCCTCTTCAGACATTGCTGCCAATACTGCCATAGTCACAAGTGGCTCCACTACTCTGGGCTCTGCTTGTTCCTCTTCCAGACCACGTTGGCTCTTGGAGAGTGCATCAGCCAAGATACTGGCTTTCCCGGGATTATACAAAATTGTTGGTGAAATAGACTGAAATAGACCCAATTTCTCCCATCTCATTTATACCGGGTCAACACTTGCTGATCCATGAGCGACCTCAATGTCAGGTGGTCCGTGAGCACGGTCACTCCTCCTGGACATCCTTCAACATAATGTCGCCACATAATGAAATAGTATGCAATTGCAGCTAATTCGCACTCATAAGTTGAGTACTTTATTTTGGATGCACTCAGCGTTTTGTTGTAGAATGCGATAGGTCGGAGTCCATCTCCCTCATCCTGCATGATGACTCCTCCCGCTGCGTGCTTTGGTGCATCTGTCACCATAGTATAAGGCAACAAAGGGTCAGGGAACACTAGCATTGGCCCACTGCACAAGGCTGTCTTGACCTCCTCAAAGGCCTTCTGCTGCATGGGACCCCACTGATAACCAATGTTCTTTTTGGTCAAGTCTGTCAAGGGATGAACCTACTCGGCATAATGTCGCACATAGTGCTGATAATTATTGGTGAACCATAAAAATGACCTGACCCTTTTGATG